ATATACCTGCACCAATAACACACACTATACCTGCACCATATACCTACACCACACACCTGCACCATAAACTCACTATATACCTGCACCAATAACACACACTATACCTGCACCATATACCTATACCACACACCTGCACCATAAACACACTATATACCTGCACCACAAACACACACACACTATACCTGTACCATATACCTATACCACACACCTGCACCATAAACACATTACACACCTGCACCACAAACACACTATATACCTGCACCAATAACACACACTATACCTGCTCCATATACCTACACCACACACCTGCACCTTAAACACACTATATACCTGCACCACAAACACACACTATACCTGCACCATATACCTACACCACACACCTGCACCACAAACATACAATATACCTGCACCATATACCTACACCACACACCTGCACCATAAACACACTATATACCTGCACCATATGCCTACACCGCACCTAGTTAGTCCCAGATGGGCCTAGTTGGGCCCAGATGGGCCTAGTTAGTCCCAGATGGGCCTAGTTGGGCCCAGATGGGCCTAGTTGGGCCCAGATGGACCTAGTTGGTCCCAGATGGGCCTAGTTGGTCCCAGATGGGCCTAGTTGGTCCCAGATGGGCCTAGTTGGTCCCAGATGGGCCTAGTTGGTCCCAGATGGGCCTAGTTGGTCCCAGATGGGCCTAGCTGGTCCCAGATGGGCCTAGTTGGTCCCAGATGGGCCTAGTTGGTCCCAGATGGGCCTAGTTCAACCAGTGTGACCGACAACCACAGAGATGGCTGGATAGCTTCAACCATAGGTTGGATGTTTATATGAGCAATAGGGGCTGGGTGGACTGCCCAGTATGGCCCGCTGTAGTTTCCTCCATTCTTATGTTCTACTGTACTGTGTCTAGTTAACACGGCCATACATAATGTTAACTTACCACGAGGGAGGGAGGAAGGCCCACAAATTAACATTTACTAACAAAATTAACAACAATAAACAAGACGTCCACCTTGGTTGATGTTGACACGCTACACCTTGTCCGATTCTCTCTCTTATCTTTCAGTAACTACAAGTTTTCATTATTAACACTATAATAAAGTATTTTATTTATAAATGATACATAATATAAATAAATTATACTTTAACCATAATGTTTTATTATTGATTAAACTCCCGCTAATAGATATATATTAATATTAACTAAACTTAAGTCAATGGCTGGAGAACCGAATAGCTTGACAACATTTACAAAAACACTAAAATATATTTAAACAATAACATTAATTATTTAACTATTTAAACAATAACATTTATTGTTTAACTATTTCAAGATGATTTATTAATATTTTATTAATATATATCACTATATATAAGCTTTTAACACCATAATAAACTCGCTATTTTAACTATTCATAATAATATTATTAACGGTAACTATTAGTCTAAAACTACATAATTATTCAGCAACAATTATTAAACAATAACTAAGTATAATATAAAAAGTAAATAATAATCAACTACCAATTATATTATTATCAATTAAGTCCATCTTGCATTATGACTACCTCTCGCTGTCATGTCCTGTTGGCCTGAGACACACCTGAGAAGGGTGTTTGACTACCTCTCGCTATCATGTCCTGTTGGCCTGAGACACACCTGAGAAGGGTGTTTGACTACCTCTCACTATCATGTCCAGTTGGCCTGAGACACACCTGAGAAGGGTGTTTGAGTACCTCTCACTATCATGTCCAGTTGGCCTGAGACACACCTGAGAAGGGTGTTTCAGTACCTCTCACTATCATGTCTTGTTGGCCTGAGACACACATGAGAAGGGTGTTTGAGTACCTCTCACTATCATGTCCTGTTGGCCTCAGACACACCTGAGAAGAGTGTTTGAATACCTCTCACTATCATGTCCTGTTGGCCTGAGACACACCTGAGAAGAGTGTTTGAATACCTCTCACTATCATGTCCTGTTGAACACATGTTCTACAATATTGGGGTTGTAATAAAGTATTCAGCAATAGTTTAAATACTTATATCTCATTCTGTAAGATATTTATGTTTGGGGAACATCATGGCCAAGTGTATACAGTTATACTGCCCTTTAATTGGTCACTTAATACTAGGGTTTACTTCTTAACTTAGGGTCGCTGCCACCAGACCGCAGGACAGTATGTGTAGTTGTTCTTTGGGGAGCTGGCAAAGAAGTCTAGCAGTGAGAGTTTGGTCCAGCAGTGTCAGATTAGTCTAGCAGTGTGAGTTTAGTCTAGCAGTGTGAGTTTAGTCTAGCAGTGTAAGTTTGGCTAGCAGTGTGAGTTTAGTCTAGCACTGTAAGTTTAGTCTAGCAGTGTGAGTTTGGTCCAGCAGTGTCAGATTAGTCTACCAGTGTGAGTTTAGTCTAGCAGTGTAATTATTTTAGACATAATTAAAATACTGCACTCTGTGACAATACAAAAATAGTTGACCTTCCCAAGGAATTAAGGTCACAGCACCACACAAACATAACTGACCTTCTCCCATAAATGAAGGTCTCTTCTCCATACAAAATAACTGACCTTAATACTATCAGTACACACACTTAACATTATATACACAGACACTGGTATAATACAACATACAACAGTACCTTTTGTAGAGTTCTCCTTACTATCAGTACACACACTTAACATTACATAGTGGTCCTCGCCAACTAACACAATCCGTTCTAGAAGGTTGCTCGTTAACCGAAACCATTGTTTCAATGGGTTTTTGGGTAATTGGTTCCAGCTCACCGAAAATTGCCTAAATTCAACAAAAATGGTAGAAAAGTACACTTGCTTTGAGGTGTTTATGTAGAAAGCTCCTAGATGATGATGATGATGATGGATGATGACAGATGATGATGATGATGATGATGATGATGATGATACATGATGATGATGATGGCATGATGATGATGATGATGATGGGAATTAGAATGGGGTTGGAGGGGAAGGGAGAAGAGAAGGCATTGGGGTGGAAGAGAAGTCGCCCCATGGCGCTATTTCACCCATAAAATTTTAGTTCGTTTTGTGTAATTCAAGATTATTTTCTTTAAATCAACACTGCACTGCATTATATATTGTCAATATGTAAAATAAATTTCAAAATGACCAATAATTTGCTTGGAAACACAGAAAAAAAGCGTTTAGTTGAAGAGAGTCTCAAGCAAGATGTTACCTCCATTGAAAAGAGAGAGAGAGACTAACGCCTGTTTGGTGTGTTGCCAGGCTGGATGGCGTGCCAGAAACTAGTTTCTTTACCTTCAATTATGTTCAATAATTGTTAAAATTACTAAAAAATTTAATATTAAACTTTTAAAATTATTGAATACTGTAAACTTCTTGATATTTACTAAAATGGTAAGGAATATAAGCCCTAAACGGGACATTGCATATGGACTACTACAGCCAGGGACAGCCAAATGCAAGCGTAAAAACATGTTTGAGGCCGGGTCAGAAGAAACTCTAATCGAGGGATTGCTCGTTAACCTAAGGTTAAGAATCTTATGAAGGTAACTCAGAAACTAAAATCTCGTTAACCTAGGCGCTGCTAACTGAGGGACCACTGTACACAGACACTGGTATAATACAACATACAACAGTACCTTGAGTTCTCCCTTAATACTATCAGTACACGCACTTAACATTATATACACAGACACTGGTATAATACAACATACAAATTACTCCTTCAGAGTGTTTACTGTGACACTACCCAATAGAAAACTTAGATACTCCCTTAGTGCGGTGAGTGTGAACGTTATGCAGCTGTAATAAGAGTCACAAGAGATTATAGGGACCTGTACTAATGTATGCAGTACACAGTATTTACATAAAACTCTATATTCATGTCCACAAAATTAATGCCATTCTTGTAGCAATGATTTTTTTAAATACCATTGTTAGATAAACACATGCCAGTACTATTAGGAAAAGTTGTACAGGTTGTACCTCTCTAGTCCGGCATTCTGTGGTCCGGAAACTCCTGTGGTCCGGAACGATTTTAGTTTGTCCAATAGGTAGATAGGCAGCTTTTTTTTCTTTTTTTTTTTACTTATCTGAATTATTATTATTATTACAGGAGTATTAAATTTTTGCCCCTCAGGCCCTAATGTAGGTCAGTGACCTATTCCCGGGTGGGCTAATCCCCTTAAAAAAAAAAAGCCGCGGGAAATTAAGGTTTGTTTACATCCAGCAGTTCGGCTGCTCTCTCTCTCTCTCTCTCTGCTTGTCTATACAGAGTACAACATTTAACCCTTCAATATATATGAGCAGTAAATAAGTGTTGCTTTCATATTCTTATGTAGAGGATTGACGATATATTTTCACATGTGCGCACTTACATACGAGCAGTCTCACTTTTTTTTTTACCATTAATGGTTAGCTACTTATATTGTTCCATTTATTAACATTAAATAACATTACAGGTACTTCAAGCAACCATATTCATTTTTTTACATTAATTTTATTACAGCTAAACTCAGGGTCTTATTTTCTTCAGTTTTATATGTAGAACCAATCAGTCACTGGTTTCGTAAGCTTTAACATAAACAATGCCGGCAGCCGTCTCGTCTCCTCTAATATTCCACGTATTATTAATAAATTGTATTGTTAATTTTGCACACACGTACATTAATTCAATAAAAACAACTTCAGAAACATTAATTAAAATATATATGAACAGTAAATAAGTGTTGCTTTCATATTCTTATGTATAGTAAAGTAATGACGATATGTTTTCACGTGTGCGCATGCGCACTTACATATGCGATCTCTCTTTTTTCTTTACCATTATCGTTAGCTACTTCTATTGTTCCATTTATTAACATTAAATAACATTACTTAAAACAACCATATTAATTTTACTACAGCTACAACCAAGGTCTTATTTTCTTCAGTTTTATATGTAGAACCAGTCAGTCACTTGTTTTGTAATCAACGAATACAATGCTGTGTCATTTCCTCGTGTGTTTTAATATTCTACGAATTATTAATGAATTGTATTGCTCATTTTGCACACATAAACATTAATTCAATATAAAAGACATTCAGTAATAAACAATAATGAATCTTTTGTACATAAGAGAAATGACGCTGTTTACACGATTATGCACGTCGTCTGCACGTTGGCGGGCCGTTCAAACCCGTCGAAATTCAAGTTTCCGCCGTCAAAATTTTTATTTATTTATTTTTTTGTGTGTTCCAATAAAATACGTTAAGAATTAAAAACTCGCGAAATTTGAGAAGCTACTATACGACATTTAACCCTTCAATATGTCTTCAAAGAGACCATGATGCAGAGAAAGTGGTGCTATTGCTTCCAGGCTTAAGCACAAGTCACTATCTATCCAGGAAAAGGGTGAATTTCCATGGTCTGGCAATTTCCATGGTCCGGCACCGGTCAGGTCCCAAGGTTGCCGGACTAGAGAGGTACAACCTGTATATAAGAACAGCAAATATCTAAATACTGTATGATAATTTAACCAAGTCTTCTGCTTAACATGATCAAAAACCAAATTTTAACCCAGAGTTTGGCATTTCAGCATTGGCTACTTTAAGAAAATGACTGCCCAATGATGAATTGACATATAACCAAGAAGAGTTACCTAACTAAGGTACAATATGCTAACTGAACAATATATTAAACATGATATTATATACAGTTAAGAGGTGTTAAAGTTCATCTGCCCCATAACACCAGCTGCTATATATGAACCCTAACCATTATTTACCAGACAATGGTACCATATATCTGTAAGTGATGAAAGAATATATTTAAAACACGAATTAAAACTACCAACCATTTTAGTCAAGATAAAATATCAAAATATCGCGTCGGAGTTGAGCAAAACTTATCAAATATTTACGTACAATTTCAACAGAGATTGAAGAGTTTCTGTGAAATAATGACAACACCTTGACTAAAACAAATGGTGTACCACCACTGTACGACTTTACCAAGATGATTTACTACCTGCGTTAATGTACATACTTGTGATAAAACTTACGTCACGTGTAAATAAAGACAGACATACACAGTTGACACAACTATTGATGCACAAATTATAGTAAATGAGAGTTCATCTCTATTCAACACAACTTATCCAGTAAAGGTGAAATTTTAAGCACATAGACGATAAGTTTAACCTTTGTTCACTACTGTACTGTAAATAGCATTATTTAAAAGGCTGATGAAACAAAATGGAATATTATTATGAGTGATATTTATCCAACACCTAATGTCTACACTAAGGCCATGGTAGAAGTAATTTACATCTTAAGAGCAGATAATTATAACTTGTGTTTAATATCTATAAAAGTGGCATTTGTCACTTGTCTTTATTTCTGCTACATTCATAGAGTTTAATCAAGTGGTTTTATATTGATGTATATCACTGTATTCAAGTTTGTGTGTCACATTTACCTTCTGATAAAGTCATTCAAACATTTATTGAATTCTGTTTTTTTCATGCACGAGTTTATGACGTTTGAGATGACCGCTGCGGGAGAAACATTTCCCACATTCCTCACATTCAAACTTCTTTATACCACTGTGTCCAAGAATGTGTCTCTTGAGATTACTCTTCCGGGAGAAACATTTCCCACATTCCTCACATTTAAACTCCTTCACACCACTGTGTCCAAGAATGTGTGTCTTGAGAGTACTCTTCCGGGAGAAACATTTCCCACATTCCTCACATTCAAACTCCTTCACACCATTGTGTCCAAGAATGTGTGTCTTGAGATGACCCTTCTGGGAGAAACATTTCCCACATTCCTCACATTTAAACTTCTTTATACCATTGTGTACAAGAATGTGTTTCTTGAGATCACTGTTAGATGAGAAACATTTCCCACATTCCTCACATTCACACTCCTTTATACCATTGTGTGCAAGAATGTGTGTCTTGAGAGTACTCTTCCAGGAGAAACATTTCCCACATTCCTCACATTCAAACTCCTTCACACCATTGTGTACAAGAATGTGTCTCTTGAGAGTACTCTTTAGTGCAAAATGTTTCCCACATTCCTCACATTCAAACTCCTTCACACCATTGTGTCCAAGTAAATGTTTCTGAAGATAAGACTTGAAGCCAAACTGTTTACCACATTCCTCACAGGAAAACTTTTTATCTCTGCTTGACATTGTGAACTTCTACTTAGTTACACTTGGTCTTGAGATGTGACATCACAGTATCTGAAACAAAATATTTTGCCTTAGATGATATTCTTATAAAAGTACAATTTATAAATGAAAACTACAATTGACTAAATCAATATTTGTAAAATAAGAGTAAAAAATAAATAAAAAATATAAAATAAAAAGGTTATATTAATCTACACCGCGAAGATGCCGGAAAACCAGATTTTTGAAGTGAGACAGATTGTATGAGTACGGAAACACAAAAGCCAGAGCATTCCACAGTGTGAAGAAAGATGGATATACTATAATGGGTTATTATAGTGTGACCCACATCCACACAGACAATATTTGGCTGTGTGAGTGAAGAAGGATGTACTATAACGGGTTATTATAGTGTGACCCACATCCACACAGACAATATTTGGCTGTGTGAGTGAAGAAGGATGTACTATAACGGGTTATTATAGTGTGACCCACATCCACACAGACAATATTTGGCTGTGTGAGTGAAGAAGGATGTACTATAACGGGTTATTATAGTGTGACCCACATCCACACAGACAATATTTGGCTGTGTGAGTGAAGAAGGATGTACTATAACGGGTTATTATAGTGTGACCCACATCCACACAGACAATATTTGGCTGTGTGAGTGAAGAAGGATGTACTATAACGGGTTATTATAGTGTGACCCACATCCACACAGACAATATTTGGCTGTGTGAGTGAAGAAGGATGTACTATAACGGGTTATTATAGTGTGACCCACATCCACACAGACAATATTTGGCTGTGTGAGTGAAGAAGGATGTACTATAACGGGTTATTATAGTGTGACCCACATCCACACAGACAATATTTGGCTGTGTGAGTGAAGAAGGATGTACTATAATGGGTTATTATAGCGTGACCGACATCCACACACAAACTATGGGCAAGACACCAGCCCACGGTACACAGGATGCCAAATATTACCCGTTAAAGTACCTGTAAAAGAGAGAGTGAAGCGACATTGTGGTGAAGAGAAGAGAGATTATCAACTAAAGGAGGAGAGGTAAGAAGCCTTTGATTCCACCCTATCTAACAGTTGAAGAGCCACCCCAGATATGAGAGCAGTACTCCATGTTAGGACCAATGAATCCCTTATATACTTGAACCAACAGCTCAGGGGTGAAGTAACATTCCAGGTGACTAGTGACTGGCTGACATAATAATATTGAAAAATTAATATCTCGGTTATCATTAATTTCCGGCAGAAATATCATAGAAGAAAAGGGTCTTAGAATTGTCTAAACATTACGAAAAACATATATATACAGTCAGCCCTTAACATACGCGGGTTTAACATACACGGATTTGCAAATACGCTGATTGCCCCGCCGGAGGAATATTCTGTACATTGAAGCAATTGAAGTACATTCAAATCGCGCGCCATTCAACTCGCACGCGGCACTGATCACAGGACACCGCCCGCTCCCGCAACCTCACACACACACACGCATAGCGCGTCGTCACCCCACCCCGCCACTCCGCGCTCCGTCACTCAGTCAGTCTCGCTGTGACCACGCTTGTGTTAACATCAGAATTGTAGTTGCTACCCTTGCTACCCACATTTACCATGGCCCCTAAAAGAGCATCAAAGACACCAGCTGGAGCCACCCGTAAGCACCACAAGAAAGTGATGACTCTGCAGGAGAAGGTGGAGTTGTTGAATAAGTTAAGGGAGGGAATGTCATTCGCTGCTGTGGGGCGACTGTACAACGTGAATGAAAGCACGGTACGTACCATCAA